TTTTTACAATACGATGAATTTAAGTTTGTCCTATGGCATTATAAGGGTTGTCTGTGAGGATTTCTGGCGAATTTGACTGTTAATAATCCATTACACCGTATCTACTATGGCGTTTGTAATAACTTCAGATTGAAAATATAAAAACCTTCTTGATCTCGTCGAATTGAAATTCTAATGCAATTATTTTGTATCAATGGTTCTGATTGGATAACAATCAGCGTAATATTCTCAATCTCCCTGTCTGTAACTAAGGAAGCCGACATTTTGAATTCCGGAATGTATTGACAAGTAATTTCTCCAATGATAAGCAAAACAACTTACATTTTGCACCAAGAAATCTTCTTTTTATCAAATTTTATTACATTCTGAAGCGGACAAGAAGCCAGAAAACACCCGGTGTTTACGTTTGATGCCGGAAGCATACCTATGACGTCACCTAATTAAGGCGCCAATTTCGCGGAATTTTTGTTTAATGAAAGTTAACACTAAAATAATGACTAAAATTGAATGATTTGTTTATTTTGCATTAGAATAGAGATAACTGTATCGTATTTGAAGCTTTGCGGACGTCCATCGGTAGTTTTACTGTCGCAAATATCCGTTTACCTGTCTCCGCTAAGCGTCGCCAGGTAAACTAAATTTGAGATAGTAAAACTACCGATGGACGTCCGAGAAGCTTCAAATACAATACAGTTATCTCTAAAATGTCTGAAACCGAAGATTCTTTCATTTTCTCTTGATATCTTAGAAAATAATGTGGATTGTTTCAATTTGAAATGATTAAGCCTGTTACTCGTACAATCAAGTATACATTAATAACATTCATGTTGAATTGCATTTCACAATTTGTGAGTTGGCATTTCGTTTAAAGTATGACAAAGCCTTGCACGATGGAGGTTGCACATTCAGATGTTGGTCTACGCAATATTAGATCAAAAATACAATAAAGAAGTAAATCGTAAAATTTAATCGGATTACTGATTTAAAGTTACTGTTTAAAAAAATATGAATACAAATTATGTTTACTTAAGACCTTGCCCCGAGCTGATAGACAAGTTGTCTAAGTTCTAATTAATTTTATGTTTTTTGGATTAACAATATAATAGCAATCGATATACTGGACAATTGATCTGTCAAATTAATTACCACGACGATAATTTTTAAATAGAATTGATTTAATTTAATAATTTCAATACACATTTATATCAAATCTATTAAAATTGAAAAAAAGTCCGGTTAACCGGTTAGCGTTTTTTTTGGTATTCGATATACGGTCCTTTCGACGGTTAACCGGTTAACTGGTTAACCGTTGACAACACAAATATATATACAAAAAATATAAACAATTTAACAATAAAAACAAATCAAGAATAGATCAAGATAGATAATGTTACACGTAATTTCAAGTAGTAATGGTTAACTTATGGTATGATGTGTACATGCGTGTGATTTAACAAAAAAGTATCTAACTCAATATTTATTATCATTATTTAAAAAAACCATTTTGAACAAGGTTTTTTGAACCCTTCAAGAAGTTTAGGATCTTAATTGTCACTTTGCAAATGTGCTTGTTTTTTTTATCATAATCATTTAAGTGTTCAATTTTGAAATGCATTGTTTTTATCATGTTCAAATATATAAAGTGCTTAAAAAATTTATGAACTTGTTTAGGATAGCAACTTCAGTGTTTGTTTTATACATGTTTTCATGTGTATCTTTTTGTTCCTTTTAACCAAATTTTATACATAATGAGTTTTTATGAAAATTCAACAGATTGCCTCAGAGCTGCCAAATGAGCCTATAGAATGATTTAGAAGAACACACATAGAAGGCTGATGTAAAAACTAATCAAATATACTAGGCATATAATTTTGTTACTCTAAACGCGTGTTTCGTCTACACAAGTCAAGTCATTGTCGCTCATATCAAAACAGTTGAAAACCCACACAAAATACGAAGTTAAATAGCGTTGAAAACCAAAAATACCGCAAAACTGTGCGAATAACAGCATAGACCATCATGCATAGGAGTAGAAAAAGTTGAGTGATTCGAAAAATTTAAAATTTCGTTAACAGAATATTTACAGAAAAGAAGCTTAGCATTGATATTTATGGTCAATGCTGAAGTGCTGACTACTGGCTGATACCTCCGAGGACACAACTTCCACCAGCAGTTGCTTCCAACCAGTAGATGCTAAAACTCATCAAAGATATCAGACTAATATTGTTTTTAAGCCATACGCGCGTTTTATCTATGTTATACTCATCAGTGACGCTCGAATCAGATAAAAGGCCAAGTAGTCATTGAAGACCGTGGAAACCCAAAAATACTGAAACATTGTGCTAAATGTGGCTTTGCAATCTACGCCTGGGATTAAAAGATAATTGTTTCGAATCATACAAAATTTCTTAATTATAAATTATAGAGAAATTGATTGTATGATTGATAGTTCATGTCAACAGAGAAGTGATGACTACTGGGCTAGTGATTCATTTGGAGAAGAATCTTCCACAAACAGTGTCAAAAAATGTCAGTATTCACCTCAAAAGCTAACAAAACCTTTAAACAGACTTATTAAGAAGGGATATAGTTACGATACTGTTGTCAGGTCATTAAAGATTGCATATTTTGGCTTTAATATTGATTCACTTAGAGGGTCTTTGCATCGGAATTAAACACATTAATTCTAAAACCAGTTGTTGGCATGATACGGGTTATGTTCTTCTCATATATTTTATGATGGTATGATACTAAACCCCTAACGGGAGGGATTGTACTTGATTTTCATATGATGAAGACATAATCTTTCAATCAGTTTAATTGAGGTCTGGAGCTGGCATGTCAGTAACTGCTAGTAGTCCTTTGTTCATTTATGTATTATTGTCATTTTGTTTATTTTCTTTTGTTTCCTATTCTGACATCGGACTCGGACTTCTCTTAAACTGAGTTTTACCGTGCGTACTGTTGTACGTTTGTTTTTTCTACATTGGCTAGAGGTATAGGGGGAGGGTTGTGATCTCAAACGGCTGTCCCAAGTCAGGAGCCTCTGGCCTTTGTTAGTCTTGTATAATTTTTAATTTTAGTTTCTTGTGTATAATTTGGAGTTTAGTATGACGTCCATTATCACTGAACTAGTATACATATTTGTTTAGGGGCCAGCTGAAGGACGCCTCCGGGTGCGGGAGTTTCTCGCTGCACTGAAGACCCATTGATAGCCTTCGGCTGTTGTCTGCTCTATGGTCGAGTTGTTGTCTCTTTGACACATTCCCCATTTCCATTCTCAATTTTATCATCCATCTAGTGGTTGTAAAAACTCACCTAGTATACCTGGCGTATATATTTAACGCCAGACGCTAGTTTCGTCTACACAAGACTCATCAGCTGGAATCGAATCACAACACCTGACAGGCAAAACCAATATGAAGAAGTTGAAGTGCATTGAAATTGAAAAAACAACCAAAAATGTCTTAGGCATTATATGCCTGGTGTAATCAGGAAGTAAAAATTGCAGCTTTGTATATGTAGCTTTTGATTTTGTTTGAATGTTTATGTATTTATTGTGGAGGAGGCGGGTGGTCATTGGTCATATTGTTTGTGCTGTAAAATCCAATCTGAGACACCATCTAATAGGTAGAAGATATCAAACAACTACCTAAAACAAAAAGAGGTGGAAGATAACAAGTGAACTTTCAAAACTCATAAGTCGAATCAAAACTGACAACGTCATGGCAAAAAACGAATAACGACGATAGGACGAACAAGTTTCCCAAAGCACTTAATAGAAAACTAAAGATCGAGCGACACGAACCATAAAAAAAACTGAGATGAACTCAATGAGAATAAAAATGCTCATTATGAACAAAACGAAGACAACTAATCAAAACTAACGAGACAAAACCAGACCGATCAAACCAACGAGATAGATGTATAGGCATAAACGGTTATATCTAAATATAAAAATGCAATAAAAAACTCCAACCAATCATGTAATGATACTAGGTGTCATTATTCAAAAACAAAGTAAAATCATAAAAATACCGAACTCCGAGGAAAATTCAAAACGGAAAGTCCCTAATCAAATGGCAAAATCAAAAGCTCAAACATATCAAACGAATCAATCGCGATGACCGTCTAAGCTAACTTCTTTTATTAGTGAGCACATTATAACCCTGCTTTCCGAATGATGTGCCGTCTTTTATTTCCTTGTTCAAAATAGTGGTCTCATGATGGTAGCTGCATTTGGCAGTTTTTCTTTAAATATGATTTACTTTTACGACATATTTGCTAAATTGGCAAAAAGGGAGCTCCGGTATGCACGTACATTGTGTGCCAGTATATACCCAGTAAGGTCTTCTAAATCATTGGTAATTCATTATAGTTTGTCTTTATGACCCAAAAGGTATGTGAGTATACGTTAATGAGACATCAACCCAGCGACAAAAAATACAAAGAGAAATCTTTAGGATATGTCTATTTTTTGGAGTAATCGTGTTTTGTTGTTGGGTGTGATCTATTATAATGTCTTATAATTTTGGTATTTAGAAACAATTATTTATAATTTGTTTTGTGAATTTAGTGTTAAAAAAAACAAAACAAATCGTTCGAAACACTACCCCAGGCAAAGAATTTTCTTGCTAAATTTGGAACAATGTTTTTGTGACTTCTTTTTTGCGATACAACAAAGGAGGCGGAATATACAAAGGGGACATTCAAGACCCATAAAGTGATGAGAAATTGATAACATCATGACAAAAAAGCAAAAGACGTTGAAAAGACAAACCATGTTAACAAAACACAACTACAATATCATTATCGATTTGTCTTCCAACTGTATTGATTTGAGCGCCACTGATGAGTTTTATGTAGACGAAGTGCACGTCAAGTGTTCTTATTATAGACATAATATCTTTTGTGAGTTTTATACCTTCGATTTATAAAAATTTTTTAGATAATAAGTTTATGTCATTTTTAAACAATTAAAATTTTTATTTACAGAAACTGAGATATGGGTCCTAGGTAATCAAGGATTTGTTTACGACACTCAAAGACAATATACGTTAAACATAGAGTGTGCTGACCAGCGAAGAAGTGATTCGGGAGAGTTTTACGTTTACATTCTTCGAAACATGCCTCCATACTTCTCTAATCTTCAAGGTAACTGTATTGTAGTCATTAGTTTGAACATTCGGTGTCCAGTTATCGGTCAACAATTCAAATAACCAAATAATTATGTAAGAAAATAATTCTTAATGTCCTTAGGACAGTATGAATTTTATCTAACTGTTTAACAGCCATACATCATATATTGAGCAAAATATCGGAGTGTATACAGACTTTGGTTTTCTAATCATATACATTTTCAATATGAGGACATGGAATGTTAATTTTGTATTGATATATGCAGTTGGCACTAAAATCTTTTGTATACATATACATATCCAAATTATATGGCCTTCCTAATACCGTTTCGATTCCTAACATCACTGAAGAGACATTAATTGTCTAAATCCGGATATGGTGTACATAAATAAAGGCAACAATAGTATACCTCTGTTCGAAACTCATAAATCCATAGAGATAAAAACAAATCCGGGTTACAAACTAAAACTGAGGGAAACGCATCAAATATAAGAGGAGAACAACGACACAACAAAAACACAACATTAAAATGTAACACACACAGAAACGAACTATAATATAACAATGGCCATTTTCCTGACTTGGTACAGGACATTTTAAGAAAAAAATGGTGCGTTGAACCTTGTTTTGTGGCATGCCAAACCTCCCGCTTTTATGGCAACGTCAAACACAACACCAAAACGACAACATCACATGACAGGACCACAATACAAATAAATGGGAGAACATATAGGACAAAAAAAACACACGAATAATAGCTAGCAGAAGGTACTAGGCTTAAAATTCAATACGCCAGACGTGCGTCTCGTCCACACAAGACCAACCAGTGACGCTCAGATAAAAAAAGTTTGAAATCAAAACAAGTACAAAGCTGAAGAGCACCGAGGACCAAAACTTCCAAAAAGTTGCGCCTAACACGGCCAGGATTTTCTGCCTTGGACAAGAACATCCTTATTATTTAGAATAATTTATAATTTTGCAAACAGTAAATTTTATAAAATGACTATATGATAGATATACATGATAAAACCAAAGTGGGGACTAACTACAGAATAAAAACGGATACATTACATAAAACAACTTAATCCAACATATAAAAATACACAGCCGAGTTAGCTAAAGCCTCAACGCACAAAGTGACGTCACATTTGAAATTCTAAAAAAACACACAAAGTGACGTCACATATGAATTTGTAAAAATATTTCCCAAAAATAAGATAGGATTAGGATTGATTCAAGATTAGATTTGTAATACTGCCATTACATTTATTAATAACAATGAAAATTACAATACTTATTAATATCAAATTGTGGTAGTAATTAGATAATTAATTGTATTATCTAGCTATGTCGGTGTTTCTTCTGAATCAAACTGTAAACCAAATATATCGTATAAATTTCTTTGAACCAAACTAAAATCTAATAAATGAAGGGGGTGATTAATTATCTATACCATAACACACGAATATAACAGAAAATACGTTTAGACATTTGACAAAATCCGACGAGAACAACAAATATAACATCAAAATTAAATACATGAATTTGGGATAGAAAGGTACCGTGACACGTCTTATAGCAATGCGGTTTCACACTCAGCAAAACAGTCACAATCGGGAATAAGTCACGTTCGGTAATTAGAAGATCAGACGACGTAATGACAAACCACAATCTAACACGTGGTAAAAATGTCCATAGTTAGTTTTGACAAAGACACATCGTATGGATCAACCAATTGGTGATGGTGTCCGTAAAATTTACGGAGTGTCATTTTTAATCTGTCCTCCTCATAACTTTGTTGGAGCAGTTTCTGCGCAAGGAGCACACTCCTGTATATGAAGTCCGTATAGTGTGAACAAGCACGAGAATAACGTATCAATTGAGATATGTAAACACCATACGAAGGGGCAGAGGGTATGTTACTGCTGAGAAATGGGAAATTGATAATTGGGAAGTTGAAATCGTCTCGTTTATCATAGATTTTCGTGTGAAGTCGTCCATCTGTGTCAATATTGAGGAAAAGATCAGGTATGAAGCAGTACACATTTTTGCACCTCATGTTTGCGATATACCATCTTTTCTGCAATTTTATTGTTTTCTGTTTGGTATTAAATTAATAAAGATCCATTTTGTTAAATCTGTGATCCGTTTATTTGGCAATCGCCAATGGCAGTCAGCAGGGTTTAAGAACATCCGTTGTTCGACCTGCTAGTCAAATGCGTTTTGTTAAAATATACTTTTTCACTCTTTTGGTCTTTTAGAAAATGTTTTTTGTGCTGTATTTAAACCCCTCTACTAAGAAACTTGTTTTGCATGCACACGTATAAAAATTGCGATTTTTATCCAACGCAATCATAGGTTTGAACGTTGTTTTCAATTTAGACTTGTTTATATTTTTTCGTTTGGGCTTGTATTATATTTGTCTTCGGGTTTAAATAATCCGTTCATCCTATTTCGACTCTTCAAAATTCAAGAGTCAATCCTAGATTGAGATAAATTATATGGCCTTCTAAATACCGTTTCGATTCCTAACATCCCTGAAGAGACATTAATTGTCGAAATCCGGATATGGTGTACAAATTTTTGCACCTCATGTTTGCGGTATACCATCTTTTCCGCAAGTTTATTGTTTTCTGTTTGGTATTAAATTAATAATAAAGATCCATTTTGTTAGATCTGGTGATCTGTTTATTTGGCAATCGCCATGGCAGTCAGCAGGGTTTAAGAACATCCGTTGTTCGACCTGCTAGTCAAATGCGTTTTGTTAAAATATACTTTTTCTCTTTTTTGGTCTTTTGGACAATGTTGTTTGTGCTGTATTTAAACCCCTCTACCAAGAAATTTGTTTGGCATGCACACGTATAAAAATTGCGGTTTTTATCCAACGCAATTATAGGTTTGAACGTTGTTTTCAATTTAGAATTGTTTATATTTTTTCGTTTGGGCTTGTATTATATATGCCTTGTTTATATACATATATATATATATATTTATGTAGAAGTCTAAATTGAAAACAACGTTCAATTGAAATTTGAAGAGTCAAAATAGGATGAACGGATCATATTAACCCGAAGACAAATATAATACAAGCCCAAACGAAAAAATATAAACAATTCTAAATTGAAATCAACGTTCATACCTTTGATTGTGTTGGATAAAAACCGCATTTTTACGTGTGCATGCAAAACAAATTTCTTGGTAGAGGGGTCTAAATACAGCACAAACAACATTTTTCAAAAGACCAAATGAGTGAAAAAGTATATTTTAGCAAAACGCATTTGACTAGATACCACAGTCTAGAAGTCATATATCTGTGAAGACCCAATGTAGAAAATAAGCATAACATCAATCAGATATGAAGTAAACTATGCCTTCGTTAATCCTATATACAAATTAGAAACGAACACAAAAACACACTGAATTATTTTAGTTGAATTAATTGAGACGAAGAGATATACTTGATATTCGGTAGAACACAAAAAGACTTCTTAAAATAATATAATAATATTCAAACAAAAGTGTTTTTTTCATTTTGGTATTGTTTGGTTGCTGTCTTATGGACGTTTTACCAACATCTTCTTTTATTTATCTACGAGTATGCATCTTCATTTGATGATGTTTTTGTATGACTATAGATAAAACTACTGTTTCGTCACAGACATCAGCTGCTGGTCAGATCATTTATACTGTACAAAGTGTGGATCCAGAGAGTGATAATGTACAATATTCTTGGTCATCTAACACTACAAATACGCCTTTTACAATCGATCAAAATAGTAAGTAATATATGTATGTGGTTTCGCCCAACTACTATTTATAATTGTTGTAGTCCCTATGTCTATATGCAAATACATATCGATTATACCACACTAATTTGTTTTAATACTTCATTCACTCGAGATGTTAAAATGTAGAATATGTGCAAATTGAACTATTTCTAACTACCTTGATTTTTCCAAGACAACTGCGACGATCTTTAAGTTGAAAACTGCTTTTGTCGCCTCGTGATTATAATTAAACTTTATAACTAACTTATAGATTACAACTATGAGCTATTGTCGATGAACATCACAATTAAGGAGACAGAGTGGCAGAACGTGTTTCTCCAATAATATAATGAAACACTCCGAATATAATACCGAAAAGATTGGCAAAACGCTATACGTATCTAGCATTGCTTATCAAAATATGTATTGCAGTGACGGAACAATTGCAACGATTTCCAGTGGATGCCATTCGCAAGGTTAATTTGGAAATATTAAGTGATATTTTCATTTTTAGGCAGATTACATACAGGATTTGTGTTGATTTTCGAACTCGACATTAAACTGAACAAACTTGTTGATTGATACAAACTGTCATCGTAATTTGTCTTAAATACTTTTCTTCCATATGCATTCATTGTTAAATCGAAGTATTTTGTATTATGTGTATTTATGGTCTGCTCCTTTTATTACATTCTTATGATTCTATGACTGATATTTCAGCTGGTGAGATATCTCTTACACGCTCTATAAATACTGAACTTGTAGCAGGATATGATTTGTACATAAGTGTATCAGATGGACGAAATATGGTTGCTGCTCGATCATTAACAGTTCGTATTACAGGTAAGTTATTAAATTGTTCAATAATATGAGAGATAAAACGTATAATTCTTTGTACTAAATTAATAACACGTAGTTGATGAATTAATCACTTTATAAATTTCGTTCATCCGCAGCGCTTTTCTGCTTATATGTGATTTTCATTTAAATTCAATAATGAAATATAATTCAAGTATTCGTTATAATAGAAATACATTCCGGTACTTTTTTTAAAGTTTGTTACTGAAACAATCAAGATCTACTTGTCAAAAATGAATAAAATTATTTAAAAGAAATGAATATTTTTGCTTTCAATTTGACAACACAAATTCTACGATTTTGTACGATTTATTTTTGTTTGCTATTTTGTCTAATTTGCTATCAAATACTTTTGCATGATCTTCGTTGGATAGCGTTCTGGCTTACAATTGTATCATATTTGGTCTCAGGACTTGTTTCTTCTATTTGTAGATATTAATTTTCCTCCTTCATTCCAAGCTCCATCGCAGATAATAACTGTCTTCGAAGGTATACATTCTGGATCGTCCATATTTCAACCGACAATTACAGATGAAGACTTGTTGGACAATCACACGTTTTCTGTCATATATTCTCCACCAGAGGGCGCTGTTTATTTTAATGTTGATAAATCAAGTAAGATAGTATTCTATGATTTTTATTTTTCCAATTCATGAATACAATTGGTATGTTATATTATATCCTCAAGGGATCAATATCTGTGTTATTCAACATACTGTGACTTCATTTTCTGAAAAAGAAAGGCGAAGGGTACCAAAGGGACATTCAAACTCATAAATTAAAAACAAACTGATAACGCCATGGCAAAAAAAGAAAAAAAGACCAACAGACAAACAACAGTACACAAAACACAAAGACTGAGCAACACGAAACCTACCAAAAACTGGGGCTGATCTAATGTTTCCGGAAGGGTAAGCAGATCCTGCTTCCCATGTAGCACCCGTCGTGTTGCTCATGTCATTCATCGTTAGCATGAATTGCTTAAGATTTTCCCTACAAATGAAAAGATTGTTCCTATAAATGAAAGGGAGGAAAATTCATCCTCTCCGCCGATTGTACTATCAAAAGTTGATAAAACCTAGTTTTAAAAATCGTAGTGTTTCATGTGTTTTACCAGGTTGACAGTGGATTTTTAAAAATAATTGTCCCATCTATGATATTTCATGTCAGGACAGAAGTGCTAACTACTAGGCTGTTGGTACAATCGGGGACGAAACATCCATCTTTATATGAAAATGACTGCCTCCGAACAAAATTTATATCTCGAACTGTACTTTTATCGTGTTAAGCCTCGTCGATGTTATCAACCTTTTTGAAGAATACTATTGCTTCTAAACATCTGCAATTTGTTAATTTTGTGGAAACAAATTCCGTTCTGGCATGAACATAAAGTATTGTACCACACATAAATTATATGTTGTTTCAAAATATGTATTTGTTTGACCTTCAGTGGAAATCCAATAGAACTTCAATATCAAAGAGTATATATATTATATATTGTATTTAAAAGCTTTTCATTTTAATTTTAAATATATCCATAAAATCAAGATGCTATTTAGCCCTTCTCCTAGTCCTAGAATGCAAATCTTACACGCTTCGGTAAAAGCTTGCATCGACAGACAAGATAAATCTTAAAAACAATTTGTATCTAAAGTGCAATACATAGCTTTACTTTCAATACCGGTATTCGAATTATTGGTTTTATTATGAATTACCTGATTATTCTTTTTAACTGAAAATACACAAAATTCAGTTTTGGGCTACCTTTAGGTATTTGTAATGTGGTCACATGTTCAAAGCATTGTTTTTAAAAATCAAAGTATATAATTGGTTATATAAAGCTGTGTATTTTAGTAAGATTTTAAAACCTTCATAGAATAGCCTTTTTAGAAATAAATTCTGACTAAATTGGCACTACTTAAAAAAAAATGTCAATGTACATTTCTTTAGATTCAATATTCTTACAAATGTGACAATCAAACTAATATATCATAGAGCAGCTTGACAAATCACCTGATATTTATTTTATTTGAAATTGTTTTTGTTCAACTTGTTGTTGTGGTAACAGAATTAGTAAAATGAAATCAATTAAGGGTGACTGTATTTGGCACAACTTTTTGGAATTTTGGATCCTCAATGCTCTTCAACTTTGTACTTGTTTGGCTTTATAATTATCTTGATCTGAGGTCACTGATGAGTCTTATGTAGACGAAACGCGCGTCTGGCGTATACAATTATAATCCTGGTACCTTTGATAACTATTTGGCTATTGTTTTGTCCTTTCCGATAAACAGCTCCTCTCTATTAATGCTTCTGTTGAAGTGGATTAGCTGTATGGTAAATGTTATTTATTATATTTCAGCCGGATTAATAAGATCTGTATATGACATTGATTACGAGACGATTTCATTCAAGTCATTTTTGTTGATAATTAGTGGTTCCGATTCGTTGTTGGAAGATACTACCAACATAACTTTGAATATACAGAACGTCAACGAGCCTCCAGTGTTTACAAAGACGAATTACTCACTTACACCTTCAGAAAACACTGTAAGTTAATAATTAAACCAACGACCAGCGCAAGCTTGTTTTAATTTTATTCAAAATTTGTATTTCAAATATCGTACCAGATCCTGCAAGGCATTTCAGAACCATAATGGTGAAAGGTCCATTAATTGGCATGACTGTCAATTGGTAAGATGTGTCTCCTTTTAATGTTTATAGTTTAAAATAGTGATGCAACAATTTTATAATAAGCTTCCAATATGCTTTATAAAACCTTCATTATTCAATCAGATTCTTGAAAAAAAGATTTAAAAAATGGTGGAATTGGGGAATGAATTTTAACGTCGTTTAATGATTCCTGTCATACACCGAATGAAATGTAAGACTATGTTTTAAATTGGCTTAAAATAACGTTTTATCAATTTATATTTCGGGGTTTTACCCAGAAACACGTTCCAATTTTTTTTCCGATGTATTAATTGTACGTCTGTCTCGAGTTTCTTTTTTTTTTCTTTTGTCTCGGTTTTGCCTTAATCTGCAAGCGCCTAACTATCATTCCTTTTATAAATATTCGACCTTATGATTTTTTAACACCATGTTTGATTATTTTTAAAGCAATGGAATACAAAAAATGTTTGAACCTATAGGTAGGTAAATTGTCGCTAGGAAGCATAATTGTACAGCTAGAACTGTTTTTGTTTTACTATGTTACTCCCATTTATGATATTAATAGCAGGTTTTACAAAGGCGATAACTTTTAAAAAATGTTAAAGTTCTGTTTGTTTAATTAGGATGGTACCGCTCTTTATGGTCCGTTTTATCAGTATACAGAAGAAGATGGTGACGCTGTAAAATTTTCCCTTGACTGTGGTGTTGACACAGGCCGATTTGATATTGATTCTTCCACAGGTCTCCTGTCGTATTCAGCAGACTATGATCTGGACATGGTCGGTACAGCATCTCAGGTGAACTGTAATGTTTCTATCAGTGATAATGAATATACAGATATGGCCTACATTAATATAACTATATCGAATGACAATGACAATGCACCAGTATTTACCTATAGTAGATACACGTTCTATATACCAGTTACTTCAAGTGTTGGGTCATTTGTCGGACAGGTACAAGCAATTGATAATGACATTGGAAGTTATGGTAAGTTTGATGATTACCAGACGTAATATGAATATGTTTTGGGTTAAATTCTTCTTTTCCTGTGTGTATTTGTCTTGTTTAACTAAACATTTTCTCATCTTTATATATCAACTGATAAAAAAAAAAACAAAGTTTTCTATTTCAAAACGATCTCGCGTTCTGTTTATCCGAGCTTAGTATTTCAGTCGTATTGCAATGTTACATACAGGCATGCATTTTTAATTTGTCATTAGTCTAAAAAGTACATTGCACTTTACACCTTCTTATTTCTATATTAACTGCACTGTATGTGTCAGTTAACAATCATACAGTTCTTGTTGTTATTTCAAATAGCTCACACATAGAGCTAGCGCTGTCTTGCCTTATCTCCCGATTAGTCTACTTAAGACTCATCAGTGGCACTCCATAAAACCAGTTTGAAAGCAAAATCAAAACGAAGTTGAAGTTGAAGTGGATTAAGAACTGAAAATTCTGAAACACGAGTAAGGCAGCATGCCTGGGGTAAAAAACCCTCAGTGTTTTAGCCTGAAAACCCTGGAGCTGTCGATAATTGTCCTGTTTGAAAAATGCCACTCTCACTGCAAATTAAAGTCCTAGTTTGGCATGACATATTTGTTGTTTGGCATGCACCAATAAATGAATTAATGTAATGCATTGTTTATTTAATTTCAGGAAATATCTTTTACCATATTGCGCTTACAGACTTCAACTATGGTTTATTTCGTGTAGACGAAAATGGTTCGATATTTGTCAGCAAAAGTTTGACTCAGTATACCGAAGGCTCCGTTTTAAATCTAACGATTTATGCTGTGGATATTGGAAGCAGACAGGCTTCAACGTTGGTTGATATTGTATTTCCAACAAGTTATGTAACTCGTGTTCCCCAAGGAAATGATATACAGTACTTAACATTCTTCCGATATTCTCCAAATATGGCTTGGTTTGTTCCTTTAATGTTTGTGCTTTTCGTCACCGTCTGTGTTGTTACAAACACAATATACACAACTAACTGTACAAATTTGAAAAAAGTAAGTAATACGTTTTCTATATCCACTTCATAGTCTCCGTATGACCATAAACATTTCTGTCAATAAGTCAAATTAGCTTTATGTGATAACTCTGAAAATGTTTAACCACATGGAATAGAATCTGGCAATGATTTCAAACATACTTTTTGATTGTATTACTTTACTATTTGTTTTTGTTTACTTTTTTTATCTTTCCTTCGTTAATTTCATTAGAATAATCTGACAGGCTTATCATATGCTCATCCGTGATAAAACTGTTTGTTGTCATACGATTAAAGAGAAGGTATGATAAGAGCCATTTTTTAGCCCCTGAAATTGAAACTTTTTCAAACCTTTCAAAATTATGTTAATTTTATTCATAAATGAACAAATTAAATTAATATGATCTGGACAATTTAATTCAGACATGTTACTTGTGATGTCACTATAACGTCGGTAAGATGTCCAAATCTACGTATTGGACCTAAATTGCAACTTCATCCATAGTTTTTGGGTCAAATAATCTGGCAGTATCTATTTTGATCTGAGCGTCACTGATGAGTCTTATGTAGACGAAACGCGCGTCTGGCGTATTAAATTATAATCCTGGTACCTTTGATTACTAAGTATATCCTCATTTTGATATCTTGTCTTTAATTTTAAGTTATTTCCAACAAATTTACCCAAAAAGATATTTAAAACATTAACATCTTTGTAAAATACATTTTGTAGCTTTGTTGGTAAAGCTGTTGCTCATATCGAAACATTTATGAAAGATATCAAAATGAGACTATTTTGGTAGTTTATTTGCTGTTTTGCAATAAATGTAAGAAGTTTGAAGCCTTAATGCTAATATGTGAGACAAAATAGAAAAATATAGATACTGGTATCCGAAAGACTGAACATCTGAACGAGGTTATTTGAAAGATTTATAATACTTCGTTTAAACATGCATGAGATATATAAATTAATGTAGAATATGCTGATTGTATATCAACAGATATAAAACTTTTATTGTTGCATCATAATACTTGCAAAGACATTCAATTTGGAATTTCTATTCATAGTCATTCATGAAAAAACTGAAAACAACACGTTTTATATATTCAAAGCCGAAGTTGTATTATGAGAGCAGGTCTTGTTTTACACTGACAACAATTTCGATTAATGATAAATTAATGCAGGGCTAGCAGACACAGATTTTTTTTTCACACGGCATTTTAAAGGTCAAGTTTGCAAGGATGTCCCGCTGTGTGGTGTCATTTAAAACTGTTTGGATATTAACTTACCATTGTAAATATAATTGTTATAAGGAAACCCAGTGATTACCTAAAATATGTCTAGTATTTCTCTTTTGTAGCATAAGCAAGACGAAACGGAAAAGACCAATGAGATCATTATAAAATATTAAATGAACAAAGACAATATCTATGTTTTATTACCAATGACATCATTATAAAATATTGAATGAACAATATGTATTCATGAATACTCTATGTTTTAGTAAGACGGAAAGAGGCGTTCATTAAAAATACTTTGAGTGTTTTCGTCTATTGTATATCAGTTATATTGATAACTATTGCACCTCAATGGGAAGGTATTGTTAAATTATAAATGTAATCTGTGACACGTTGTGTAATATTTTCTTCATTTTCATAATCCCAAATACCACTTGTCATAAAGATGAATACTAAATTGTCACACGGTATTGTGCTCTACCAATAAGCAAAGCAAAAATATATTACCCCATTCTTGCCTTTACACGATTCTGAAATAACTCACAGGTAATACACAAGAAATATTAAGAGTATCTAAAAATATTAAGTGTTTAAATGAATATTATACATGTATGCATGCAATAAAAGATTTTGTCTATTAGTCACTTGTACAGGATAACAGCCTATTGATTATTGACATGTTGTCTCGTTTTTCACTTCATAAAAAACATCAAAATTATTTTTGTTTACATTGATATCTAAAGTTGAGAGAAAACGATAGTTTAGTGATTTTTCAGATTATCAAGGAACCTCTTAATATACACATATAGTATAAAGTCTGGAACATCTATTTTAGAATAGAGATATGTACATATTATTATAATCCATAGGTATCTTAGACGGGAGAAATTGTTCTCTTGTTTTATAAGAAAAGGGTATTTTGCGATGAGCTAGTTTCATGTTAAAAGTTATCTGCTAAAGAATCCGAGTATATAAAAACTAAATGTGATGTGAAATAATTCAAGTAAGCATCCGCCTGTCAACAAAAATTCAAATTTGGAAATAATTCGAAAACTGCAATTCTGATTCATTTGATAACAAATATATTCATTAACTTTTCTACTAAGCTGATCAGGTTTCAAACTGTGATACAAACTTCTGTAAAACTTGATGTTAGCACATCTATGACAATAAATATATCACAAGTCCAGGTATATGTATACCTAACAACAAAATTATTTTCATTTACCTGTGTTTAAAGTAATTATACCCCACGCAACGAGTTGCGGAGGGTATAATGTTTTTGACCCGTCCGTCCGTCCGTCCGTCCGTCCGTCAGTCCGTCAGTCCTGTTTCTTGTCATCGCAACTCCTCTCAAACCACACAACAGAATTTCACGAAACCTTTTAGGATAATAAGGACATACTATGTAGTTGTGCGTGCATATCAACAGGAAATTACGATTCAATTCTTTTTCTAGGAGTTACGCCCCTTTCAACTTATTTACTTTAATGTACTACTGCAACCTTTTGTCATCGCAACTCGTATCAAACCACACAACAGAATTTCATGAAACTGTGTAGATAATAAGGATATACTATGTAGATGTGCATATTGACAGGAAATTATGATTCAATTTTTTTTTCTCATACAAGTTTTTTTTCTTACACTTATTTTATTTCTCCAATGACAATGTGGGGACGTGGGGTATGTGAGCGCGCTCACTAAGGTTCTTTCATTGCAAATGGCTGATATTTTTGTTCAAGCATATTGTTTTTCATAAATTGTTTAACATTTCACAGCGGTATAACATGTTACTTTAATTATTCTTCCTTAGTTTATTTATTTTGTATTTACATTGTATCATAGATCAAATTTATTTGTTCAGTGTATGTTCACTGGTGTTAATATGTCTTTTGATTGAGTTAAACAATTTCAATTGATATTTTACAGTGTGTCTTTCTATGTTGTGATGTTACACTATTGTTTCAGATAAGGGTGAAGGTTTGGTACCATTAATACGTTTAAACCCGCTGCAATTGTTTGCACTTGTCATGAGTCAGGAATCTGATGTTGTCGTTTGTTTCTCGTTTCTCGTTTTTTATATAGATTAGACCGTTGGTTTTCCCGTTTGAATGGTTTTACACTAGTAACTTTGGGGCCCTTTATAGCTTACTGTTCGGTGTGAGCCAAGGCTCCGTATTGAAGACCGTACTTTGACCTATAATGGTTTACTTTTATAAATTTTGACTTGGATGGAGAGTTGTCTCATTGGCAATCATACCACATATTCTTATATCTATATATAAACGGACAAATAATGGTATTCTTTTTTCGTGTGTAAAATTAAAACTTAATTTTAAATTCAATGTAAAAAGTAAAATAACAAAAATACCGAACTCCAAGGAAAATTCAAATCGGAAAGTCCCTTATCAAATGGCAAAATCAAAAGCTCATTCACATCAACAGAATGTAAGTTTAACTGTTTTTGGAAATTGAAAATTACAACTTTAAAATAATGTTTTGTTAAATCTTTTTCAACTTTGCCAAAAAAAAAAATCATTAAATTTTTGGGGGATTTTGTCTCTTTTTCAATACATTTGACAAAAAATGACCACAGATTTTGAGTGCATTTCAAGTTATGATTACGTTGGTACACTTTGGATCACTTATTTAACTTCTGTACAAGTTTTAATCATAATTTTAATAGTATCCTTCCAAAATATATGGCACAGTCAATAAAAAAAGTCATATTGCCCCCGAAATCAATAGTATACTTTCCCATACTCTATGGAAATACTGTGTTCAAATTATTTTAAAAAAAAAAGATTTTCACGGGAGAAAATCTTGTCAGTAAGAGGCATTTGATATCAAACAGTACTTGATAGAAGTTTGAGGCACAATGAATCCCAAAGTTGTGTATTAATTTGAGCCCTCAACCACTGTTTTACGTAAAAGAAAATGTCAAAGATTCAAGACTTAGCGCAAACTAATTGCCCGAAAACTTAGCCCATCGGTACCAGAGTACCGACGGGGACGTGAAGGGGTTACTGCCGCCTGCTTAGCTGGGAAGCAGCAAATACCAATTTTAAAGTCTTTGGTTTGACCTGGCCGGGTTCGAACCAATGACCTCCCGCACTCGAGGTGTATACGTTACCAAGAAACCACCGAGGCGGTGCTTCAACTAGACAGTAACCCGCTATATAAAAGGTTTCGTTGGAAGCCGCTCATATATATACACCTCCAGACTCAAGGAAACATGGCTAAGGTATCGACAATTGATCTTTTTTTTTAATGGGGGCTTGTTTTTCTATAAATGTTTGATTCCAAATTTCTTGAAAAAAGGAAGCGAAAAAATAGTTTGTTTCTATGAAAATAAAAGAACAGATTTTCAATGTCCCCCGCGTTGCACATATTTTATATTTCCAAGAAAAAAGTCGATCGGCCACCATTATAGAACTTGTCCGAGATATTGCTGATATTAACCTATAGAATAAGTTTTATAAAAATCTGGCAAGAATTGTACCCATGTAAGCGCTAACGAGGTCATTTTTCATAAATTAAATATTTCCAAGGGTCATAACTCTTTTAAAAAAGTCGATCGGCCACCGTTATAGAACTTGTCCGAGATATTGCTGATATTAACTTATAGTACAAGTTTTATAAAAATCAGGCAAGAATTGTACCCGTGAGAGCACTAACGAGGCCATTTTCCATACATTTAATATTTCCAACGGGCATAACTCTTTTTTAAAAAGTCGATCGGCCACCATTATAAAACTTGTTCGAGATATTTCTGATATTAACTTATTGTATAAGTTTTATATAAATCTGGCAAGAATTGTACCTGTGAGAGCGCTAACAAGACCGGACGGACGCCTGGTATTTTCATGTCCCCAGCAACGATTTACGCGGGGGACATTTAGGGAAAAAATAAACCAATAATGAAATTGAAAAAATTAACCATGTTATTGAAATAAAAAGTTTATTTTTAATCAAAGTCGAAAAATACGTTTGTCCTGAGCTCAAGGAAATAAACATGATCCTGCCCTCAAATGATGAATCCAATTTGATTAAGATACAGTTCCTGTGTCCAAGCTTTGGTTACAAGGATCTGACACCACTCCATTTTACTTTCTTTTCTGGTAATTATTACATCAGCAAATGAAATTTCAGCCTTTAATTTTTTGAAGGTGTGTATCAATCCGACAAAACCAGAGAATCCCAAACGATCTTTAAAACAGAAAATAGAATGAAGTGTTTTCGTATCCTTGTAAGCAAAGGTTGGATACACAATATCTGTATTTTAATCCGATTGGTGTCTAAATGAACATAAACAAACCTGCATTAATTTATTGTTTACTAAGGCCTGTTAGTCTCATACAGATAGCGAGTAGTTTTTTTTTAAATGAAGCGCTGCAGAAGTAAAATCAATCGCGAAAGTTTTAAAGTCAAGCGCTGTATATATAATGTCCAGCGCTGTAGATTATGTGTCCTTTACATCTCAAGACCAACAAGGCTCCAGAATTATTAAAGATTGAGGATTGATTATTTAAGCATACGTTGTCTGTAAACTTTCATATTTTCACCTTCTTATTGAAACTACACAGCCAATTGCAATAAATCTTTGCAAGAATAATGTATTGAAAGTCTTTTACAAAAGACCTTTATTTAGTTCCCGATTGGTAAAAAATAATACCACCAGAGTTAATCTTTGAATTTGACAGTTCAGTAGCCCCTTTCAACGATTACCATTTACTATTGATAGGTTGCTGATACTGGTCACAGTGGCACATAGTTTCCATTGAAAAACCACGGGAAATAGTATTATTAAACAACTTTTTCATTAAAAATTTGTGCAAAATGTCAAGATCTATACCTACATGAACTTTCTTTCTTTATCCTCCAAATTTATTTAAATAATAGTTTTTGAGTAGAAACAGTTCTAATGGTGAGCAATGCACAATCTAGAGCAATGTCCAAATAGTTAGCCCTACCTTTCATATCGATTTTGGATATGGACCCAAGTATCTTATTTTAAATTTTAACACATTTGTTCAAGTAAAAAATAATGTTTTGTAAATATTTGTCCCTCCAAGCATTCTAAAATTGTGAACCCTTGAATAATTTTTTTTCCGATTAAGGTTCAGGTCGGGAAGATTTAGTTTGCGGCGGCAGCTTTTAATGTTTCGTGTTTATCTTTAGAACTACAATAGATTAAACAAAAAGAATAGTGCAATGAGAATAGTCTGAATATGCTCTATAGTAAAGGTCTCATTTGGGCAAGTTGTGCTATTATCAGTTTTGTTGTTTTATTGCCTATCATCTTGATAACATATTTATAGAGAAACCTTTCCTTGCAAAATGGTATAGACAAGAACAGATTAAAATATAAATAATTAAACGTGACTGAAATTATCAATCAACTTCTAAGGATCATTATCTTTCATTGGGATGGTGGACGTGGACGTAGGAGGAAACATGGGTAAGTTCCCACCTTGAAGAAGGAAATTAAATCTAAGACCACCCTTTCCATAGACATAAACATTTCACACACACACACACACCCAACAACCACCACAAACACACACTTTTCTTCAATACCTTTATTCGTAATTACAAAAAAACTGCATTAATTTTCTATTGCTATTATAAGTTTAAAATAAGGCGTCAGTAGTGGATCTAGAACCTCAAGTGTGGAAGTTGTTTGAGACTTCAGGGAAATTAATTTGGATATGTCGGTTATGGTTTCATTGATATTTACCCCACCTTCATTCAAAATTACCTTCAGATGAAAAATATTCTGCTGGAAGAACATGCTGAAACTTAGGATTTAGGTTTAAACAATTGAGGCGAGTTGAGCGAGGCGTAAATAAATTATGTCTTTCGAGTCAAAACTATTTTTTTACTGTTGGGGGAGTGTAGGATGAGGGTCGAACTATGAACAGCTGGGGCAAATATGGACACCATTCAGGCTTGATACAGCTCTGCATTTTGTTATGATTAAATACTTGAAACATCATAGGTTTCTGACACAGAACGAATGTGTTCTAAGATATTAAAAAGTTGAAATTGGACATTTACCTTTTAAATGGTCCAATATCCGAAATGTAGATATATGGTTAGATTCAGCATATCAAAAAACCACAAGAATTCATTTTTTGTTGAAATTAAATAAAGTTTAATTTGAACCTTTTTGACATTAATGAGGACCTTTTTCAAAACGTGAACCAATTTGAAAACCAGGCCCAAAATAAAAAAATCTAAATACACGGTTATATTCGGTATATCAAAGAACCAGAATAATTAAATTTTTGATGAAATCAAACAATGTTTAATTATGACCCTTTGAACCATAATGTAGACCTTTTTCAAAACGGGGGTCAAAATAAAAAAAAAATAAATACACGATTAAACGGCATATCAAAGAACCCAAATATTTCATTTTCAAAGATTAATTTTGGACCCTTTGGACCTCAAATTCGATCCCAACGGGGCCCAAAATCAACAATCTATTTACACGGTTAGATTTAGCATATTAAAGGACCCCAACAGTTCAAGACTTTGAATTAAACCCCATTAAAATTGGTGAAGAAATAAGCAATTTGTAGAGTAATAGAAAAGTACTGTTTTTGGCTCCTAATTCCTTAATAGCTAAGTCCATAACCCCCAAAATTGATCCCTCTTTTTTGGTATTGAACCTCGCTGTACAATTTCATAGAGATCCATACACAATCGATTGTCATGAAACAAGAAAAATTCTTGTTTTAGTCCCTTTTTGGTCCCTAGTTCCTAAACAGTTCAGACAATAACCTCAAAAATCAATCCCAAACTTCATTTTGTAGTATGGAACCTTGTGGTACAGTTTGAAAGAGATTCATACACTTAAACTCAGGTTATTGTCTTGTGGTAAAGTGGTATTTTAGGATATTTGTATTTTATATTTAAGTTTGATTATTTCTATATTTTTAATCATCTAACTTTATTATTTCAGAAGATATTATAATTAATACTGTAGTATTATATTATTGCATAGTAAATTCATACAGAGTGTAAATTTCAGATTCGCTCAGGTGTGACTTTTATCAGGTGTTTCAATTGGGTTTTATTTGTATTGATTAATTTTCAATTCTTTAGCGGGAAGTTTTACATTTCTATATGGTCACTTTGTGTGATGGACACCATTTTCTGTGTTCAGTAAATTCTGATTATATTCTGTTTGGAGTTTGGTTTTCATATTTCTAAGGTCAGTTATTCTTCTTATACTAATATATATTAATTATCTATACTTATAATTATATGTATGCATGATTTATGAATGTTATGAAGAAATGCATGTTTGAATGATGTGTAGATGTGATATGTAAGTGTAATTATAGAAAACTTAAAAGAACTTTAAATCTCTTTAATAATTGTGCTTTTATGGTTAAATACGGTAAATTACATAAAACAGCTAAATTTCAGTAAATGGGATTAAACTATTGAATCTTATAGAATGAATGTTTTATAATAATTTCAGATATTAAATAAAGTCATAAATTCATTAGGATATTAACTATCTCATTTTGATATGCAGAAAAGGTTAGTTATGAATTTAATATTTGTACTGCAGGTATCTACCATATTGATGATGCACCATATTGGCATCAACCTGATGTGATTTGAATATTGTATTTCAAGCCTTCACAAATACCTGTGAGGTAGGTTATGTTATGTTGAATCTATGTGCGTTATGCTTATTGTATTGTCTGCTTTAGAAAGTGATTTATGCTTTGTTTGCACGTATGTTCTTGCTTTGCATGTATATGTTTTTTTAAATATGCTTATTTAAATTTGGTATTTAACAGTTCATTGCATTACTGTTATAATGTGTTACTAATGCACCGACATTATGATTAGATTTGGTATTTAGATGTGTTTATGAGACAATAGAATTGGAGATCACTATTTTTGACTTAATGAAATTATATACTAGTATTCTTTTATTATTGAAATGCTTGGAAAAGTAAACAGTTTCCTTGTTCATAATTGTTAACATAATGTTTTAAAGCTTTTATATAGTTACTTAATTATATTACATCCATTAATATAATGTATTGTTATTACAGGGTATTTATTTTGGATTATAGTATCAACTACGAAATAAAGAATCCGTAACCCTTTAGATTGTTTCTTGTGTGTTTATTGCCCAGAAACAAGATTACATGTTTGGCGCCCAACGTAGTATTTTGTCACAGATCAAATCAGCTGATGTCACCTGTGTTTTACATGTGTGCGCGTCATCGATAATTCTACGTCACAGACCGGTATCCTCATCAATGATATCTATGTTGGCATTGGAGTCTTCAGCAAGAGATGATTCGCTGTCCACTGTCAACACAAATCCAACCTCGCAGTCCTCTGAAATAGTTGATGCTGTGTCATCAGCTGAATCCTCCTTGGTTGCCTGAACCACTGGTATTTTCTGTTGTTTACTAGCACGTGGGCGTGGAGTTGGTCTCTGTTTGGTAGTTTGTAACTCTACTGGTTCCTGGTCTCTGATGTAGCCAACTGGAAGAAGTAGATTTCTATGGAATTTCTTTATTTTTCCCTCTCCATCTTCACGGATGACGGTAAATACAGGAATGTCTTGATTTGGCTGATCCAATAAATCGTATGGTACATCTTTCCATTTTTCAGCCAACTTGTGTCTGCCATCGAAGTATACGATCTTCACCAACACACGGTCACCCTTCTGTATAGAGGCTCCTCTGACTCGAAGATCGTATGCTTCCTTCTGAGTTGCTTGTGCTTTCTTGGATGCTTCTGTTGCCAGTTGGTAGGCACAGGCAAGTCTATCACGAAGACCTTGGATGTACTTTGTGGCTGGCATCTTGGTGTCTTTGTGAAGTCCAAAAGCTAAATCAATCGGAAGACGTGGCTGTCGTCCAAACATGAGGAAATACGGTGCAACTCCTGTTGACTCGTGACGAGTGCAGTTGTAGGGGTGAACCATGGGTGCAACGTAAGCTTTACAATTAGACTTCTGCTGTCGGTCTAATGTACCAAGCATCCCCATCAAGGTGCGATTAAACCTCTCTGGCATACCATTTCTCATAGGATGGTACGGCGTTGTTCTGGATTTCTTCATCCCAGTCAAGGTACATAACTCTTTGATCACTTTGCTTTCAGAATTCGCTCCTCTGTCAGAGTGGATACGTAGCGGAATTCCATAGTGAACGATGTAGTTGTCAAAGAGTGCTTGGGCAGTAGTTCTAGCTGTTTGATTCCGCGTTGGTATAGCCTGGGCGTATCTAGTAAAGTGGTCTATGATAATAAGTACATCTTCGTATCCTCCTTTAGAACGCTCAAGTTTCAGGAAATCAATGCAAACTAGCTCTAGTGGAAATTTAGTAGTAATGCTGACCAAGGGTGCAACTTGACTGCTAGCTGGTGTTCCTTTTTTAACCATCTACTGCACTGTCCTATCCAATCATCAACTGCCTTGTCCATTCCTGGCCAGTAGAATCTGTCACGCAGTAGTGATAGTGTTCTATCCTTGCCTGGATGGCCCATATCATCATGCAGTGCCTCAAGGACGATCTTTATATGGGCAGATGGTAATACCAGCTGTGATTTCCTGTCATCATTAATCACCACGTCTCTGTATAAAACGCCATCTTTGAGAATAAGGTGTTGAAACCGTCGCAAGAGTAGTGATGATCCGACATCTGCTGTTGTAGGTTTCCTTCCTTCTCTAACATATCTCACAAACGGCGCTATCTGTGAATCCATGGCTTGTGCTTGTTTCCAATCGATGATATCTTCATCTTTGTATTCATCTTCATCATCATCAGATTGCACAACATCTGGGTTAACAGCTAAACTCTCGATGAATGTGTTCGGAAGCTGTGAGTTACAGATAGCCTGTACGGACTCTATCAATATGATTCCTCCACTATCGGATTCTGTACTTTGTGCATCTGGAATTCGGCTGAGTCCATCTGCGTCTCCATTTTTCTTTCCAGGTCGGTACAAGATATTGAAGTTGAAGTCTGCAAGGCTGTTCAACCATCTGTGACCGGTGGCATCGAGTTTAGCTGTGGTCAAAACATATGTCATGGGGTTGTTGTCTGTCATGACTGTAAAGTTGCTGCCTAAGAGGTAATCCCTGAACTTCTCACAAACAGCCCACTTCAAAGCGAGGAATTCCAACTTGTGTGGTGGATATCTCTTCTCAGATTTAGATAAGCTTCTGCTGGCGTAGCTGACAACCCTCAAATGCTCTCCCTGCTTCTGGTACAATACAGCTCCAAGTGCAAATCCTGATGCATCTGTATGTAGCTCGTATGGAAGATTGCTAATGGCATATAGGTGCTGACACAAGCCGTTCCTTCAGTGCTTCAAACGCTTTTTCTTGGTCTGGACCCCAGTGCTATGGTTTCTGTTCGTGCTTCTTTACTTTCTTCTTCATTGGATTCGGCATCAATTCTGTAAGTGGCTTACTGATCTTGCTGAAGTGTCGAATGAAGCGACGATAATATCCGACGAATCCAAGAAATCGTCTTACATCTTCAGGACTGGTGGGCTTTGACCAATTCACAACCTTATCTGTCTTGTCTGGGTCAACCTCTACACCTTCCGCTGAAACAACATGGCCGACGTACTTCACTTGTCTGGTGCAAGCTTCATGTTGTGTTTTCGGATCCTGTCAAATACTAGGCGGAGATTGTCCAAATGTTCTTCATATGTTCTGCCAAAGATGATGACGTCGTCTATAAAAATGCAGCAGATCTTAAGGTGCAAATCTGATAAACATTCCTCAATCATTCTTTTGTAGGTTGCTGGCGAATTGGCCAAACCAAACGGCATTCTGTTGTACTCTTAGAACCCGAGTGGACCCACTGTGAAGGCGGTTCTTTCTTTATGCTGCTCTAGGATCTCGACTTGGTGATACCCGCTCTTCATATCAACGCATGTAAAGTATGAACTGCCTGCAAGAGCATCAAAGAGATCTTCTATCCTAGGCAAAACATAGCTGTCTTTTTTCGTGATTCTGTTAAGTTGACGAGACTCTGTACATAGGCGCAGCTTGCCATTCTTCTTTCTTACCAGAACTACATTCGAAGCATAAGGGTTATGTGATGGTCTGATAGTTCCGTTACCTAATAACTGTTTGAGATGTGCCTTCACTTCATCATACATGGCTGGTGGTATACGCCTGTATCGTTGTTTAAACGGGTGTTCCTCTAAAAAGTATATTCGATGTTTCACTGAAGTGTTGCCGATGTCTTGATCATTCTTAGCAAAGATGTCTGCATATGACTCTATAAAATCTTTCCCTATCTTCAAATGCTCTTCTGTTAAGTCAATGGTGTTGATTTCCACTTGATCAATAATGGGTATCTTTGCTTCAGTATCTTCTGTTTGGTGTTCAATACAGACTGGTTGTATTTCGCATAATACTGCTCTTGGTTGAATAATAATGGTGCGTGATGTTACATTGGCAAGTTGTACGTCTATCTGTCCATTACTTCTGTACTTGAATTCTATAAGTGATGGTTCTACTTCAAGATCGTTGCAGTTGGGTTGTAAAGTTGATGGGAGGAGCATAGCTGGTGTTGTACTATATGGTAGTTCTTTATCGATGTAACCGGGTATCTGAACCGTTGAATTTGGATTGATGGTAACTGGTTTGCCAATAGCATTCTTGATAACAGCCAATGTGTTGTTGTGACGTTGAAGTTCCTTTTCTCTTAGTGTGATAGTTCTAAAGGTAAGGTACCATGAAGTGCTGAGTTTAGATGTCTGTAAATACCTGTTGCCATGTTGGTGTTGTAATAAGTTCATGATGTGTTGAAGGATGTTGGTGCCAATAAGTAGTGGTACGTGGATGTTGTAGCTACTATCTGGAACAACCAATATAATGCATGGATATTTTTCAGTCTGAAGTAGTAGCTGAAGTTCTGTTTCTATATATCCTTCATATGACAGTTGCTGTCCATCTGCACACTCTATGTCTAATAAGGTGTTAAGCTGTTGAAGTGGCAAATCAATCAAGTTGTTGTTGTAATATGTGTGGCTGACTGTTGAAACTGTTGATCCAGTGTCAAGAAGACTCTAACTGTTTTACCATGTAGTATAACCTCAGTTTCTGTAGGGCTTCCAAATAATCCTGGTGGTACTTGTGTTGTGGGACCTGTCGTAGTTGACTCACATAAGCCTAATGGTGGTCCTGACCCATAGACTTCTTGTAGTTTAAATTCTTCTTTCCATCTAGTATTGCTGTACAACCAATCTTATAGTGTCCTGGTAATCCACATCTAAAGCATTTCTTTTCTTCCTTGTGTTGATAATCTGAAGTAGCTTGTGGTGTAGATGAATCATGATATCCCTGTTGTTGTCCTTATCCTCCTCCTCTGTTGTTCTGTCCTTGGTTTCTGTTGAAATATCCTCTATTGTTCCTATAACCTCGACCTCTACCTGATCCTCTTCCTCTAAAATCTGTTTCCCATCTATCCATCCTGGTAGTAAGTTGATTAATCAATCCTCTAAATTCATTCATCTGTGATTCCTGCATTGTGGTATCAGAAATTGCAGTTGCCTTGGTTGGTTGTGGCTTATGAGCTGATAACTTCCTCTCCTCATGATCTGTTTCTATCTGTCTGAGTACAACTCTGAGCTCATCAAAATCCTTTATGGTGTCAAACTTGTGGCCTGATATATCCTTTAATTTTGTCTTCAAACCAGTCCATAGCATAGAATGTAGCATGCCATTTCTTTCTTTTTGTTGTTCTAATCCTCTATCTACTACTCGACCAATGATGTTTTCCAATCTACAACTCCATTTAGAAACTGTCTCAGTATCATCTTGTCTGGCTCTGTAGAATTGAGCTTGTAAATCTTCCTTTTTCTCCACATCTCCATATATACTGTCAAGCTTGTGCAAGATATCTGGTATGCTGGCTTTTGCTCCAAGGTGCATGGCAACCATTCCTGCATCTCCTTTCAGTGATCGTCTAACAGCATAATTGATGTTCTCTTGGTCGTACAATTTATCAGCCATCAATCCAGTAACTTCATATCTCCAAAGTTCATAGCTGGTTTCACCTTTGGTGTTGTTTCCAGAGAAGTTGGATATCCTGGGTGGATCTGTGTACTTGGTATGTTTGGATGGTTCATCTTTCACTTTAGCTTTAGCCTCCTCACCTTTTGCAGCCAAACATTTCATCATCCATTCTTTAATATCTTCTGGGTGTTCTCCCACCTCTTTCTTCAATAATTTCAACAGAGCAATATCTTCAGGTGCAATTGCTTCTGGTTCCGCCATGTTGATATGTGTTTCACTTATAAGTGATTTATAAATAAAAATTCACTAAAAAATGAATAAAGAAAACAAAATTTCACTAAAAAATGAATAAAGAAAACAAAATTTCACTCAAAAGTGATATAGGAAAACAAAAATTTACTCAATAGTGAGAAAATGAAATAAAGTTTTACTCAAAGGTGATAATAATAAACTAAATATTCTGAAAAGAAAATGATAAGTAAAGTAAGCAATAACCAAAATGTAAATAATGAAGAATAAACTAAGATAATTTTCACTAAGAAGTGACTAAATAAGTTTCACTGATAAGTGCTTAAGTAAATTCACTAATAAGTGCTTAAGTAAAGAATATGAAAATCAAAATTCAAATTATCTGAAAAGAAAATGTATAAATTAATCCAAAGAAGTCAAATGTAAATAGCAATAAACAATAAATACAAAAGAAAATACAAGTAAATAAATATATTTCTGAAACTGAATAAAGTATAAGTCAATCAAAATCACACAGTAAAGGCTCTAAACAAAAATAGTATATCAGATATGAATACAAAATATCAACTAAATAATCTCAAATATCACCAAAGAAAATATAATCTGCTGGAGAAAAACAAAAAATTAATCAGGTAATATACCAATCAAAAATCAAATCTGCTTACTAGTGTACACTATCTGAAATACAAAATTTAAAGTATAGTGTAATGCTAAATATCAATCACTAAATGTACCAATGACAATCAGAAATTCCT